ATATAATGACTTCACAGTAATGGCAAACTGTTCTAAGATCCCTAAGCTCATGTCTATTAGAAATAAAAGACAATGCTACTCATATGATGTAAATTTTAGTTTGAAATTCATCAATAAAATTCTATTCAGAAGAACAAACATTAACACCTTTGTCCCTTTCCTCTTCTCTTTGCTATATACTAAACTTCCCTATCAAAAGGGGAAATGAAAAGTAGTATCTCTTTTGATCCCCTTGATTTGTAAACTGACTTCAACCTTCTGTGCCAGAAACAAGAAAAGAACAATTCAGAGAATAATTTTCACTACTTAAAAAAAAAAAATTCCTAGTAAAATGTGGTCATCCCTAATAATTAAAATATATCTATCAATAGCTAGAAGAAGCCTTTAAACCTCACTCTGCAAATAATTAGTGCTAATGCCCAGGAGTTCTCTGATGTATTTTGTATACCCTATCATTGGCACACTGTTACCTGGCAGAGCTCCTCAGCTACATCCAGCATTCCTTGTCGAAAGAAGTGCTCCACCATCACCTCATTGAGAAGCCTCTGGCTGTCTGCTTGCCAGCAGCCATCTATTCCCACACTGCTGATGTCAGAATCAAAATTCTGGTGGGGAGAAACAAAGAAAAGGTATCAGAAATAGATGATTTTCATACTACCTAAGACCATTTTTTGGTCTTGGTTTCAATCTCAGATATTCCCAGTAACCCAATTCCAATTTATTTATAACCTATTATAGAAAGGAATTCTTCCACTGTTCCTTTCAAAACTTGTCATTCTCATAAATTATTGCTGAAAAGTAAATAGGTGTATTTTTAAAGCTATACAGATTTAGCAGTGATTTCTGTGCATAAACTGAAAGCAATGGCAATGATTTCTAGGCACTATACTAGAGCAATATTTTCAGAGGCTTGCAGTGATGACCTGTATAAGCATGCTCAATACAGTCTTGTCTATAATGGAGACACAAAGGAGAGGGGTAAGAAAAAACAAATATACCATCAACACAGGATTAGCTAAATAATCCATAACACATCCCCGCAACTGCAGTACTGAGGCCAGAATTGGTGGGGGGATGGTCAAGCAGTTTATGTACCCCCGTATAGAGGATTAAACATCATACTTACAACAACAGTCACCAATATCATAACTCATCTGAGGAATTAATGAGAACAAAACATTCTCCTGGCAAGCCTGGAAATCTCTTGTGACTTGGAAGGCAAGCCACCAAGTAACTCAGTAATCTTAAAGGAGCCAAGTTCAATAGTAGCAAGGCTACTGTTAAGGACTTGGCCTTGACTACCGTGTTTCCCCCAAAATAAGACACTGTCTTATATGTATTTTTTCTCAAGAAGACACACTAGGGCTTATTTTTAGGGGATGTCTTATTTTTATTAAGTGTAATACAACAATCTACATTTATTCAAATAAAGTTAAGTCATCTTCTTCTGGAACTGACCTTGTTGGTGGGGCTGGCGCTAGTGATGCATGAACTCCTTTCCCTTAGCAGTTCGCACGTGTGCAATAGGATGCCTGCTACCCTAACACCCACGCACCTGCACAAGTGCTAACAGCTCACTGCGGAGATAGGAGCTGTGGCAGATAAAAGGTATTTTAGGACAGTACCTGTGGTTCAAAGGAGTAGTACACCAGCCCCATATGGCGGAGGTGGCAGGTTCAAACCCAGCCCTGGCCAAAAAAAAAGGTATTCCAGTCTTCCTTACCGCTCCGCTCCAAAACGCATGGCGTGGCTATGCAGTGGATCCATGCCCATCACTAGGTCTTATTATCGGGGTAGGGCTTATATTTAACAAATGCATAGAAATCCTGCTAGGGCTTATTTTTTGGGTAGGCCTTATTTTGGGGGGAAACATGGTATGCATGCAGAGGGGCCTGACTTTAAAAGATGTATTATAGACTTTGAAAACTGAACTAAGGATAAACCTAGTTCCCAGGCCCCACATTGGCTACTGGGTGGTATATACAAAGTATAAATCTGAACAGCTGTAAATGGCCTTAGAAGCAAGGCCTTGAAGCTATAATCCAGAGAAAATTGGTTTAGAATCTGTGGCCTGAACCCAATCAGGCCGACTGCAAGCTTAAACAAAAATATAAACATTCTCTACAGAATTTAAGTAAAACCCAGAGTACTATAACATATTATCCAAATGTCCAGGATGCACTTAGAAATTATCTGGCATACAAAGAACAAAGAAAACCTCAACTTGAATGGGAAAAGATGATCAAGAGACACCAATGCCAAAACAACAGAGACGATGGAATCTTTAAAGACTTTAGAGCAGTTATTATAAAAGTGCTCTAAGGGCTGGGCACAGTGGCTCACGCCTGTAATCCTAGCACTCTGGGAGGCCGAGGCAGGTGGACCGCCTGAGCTCTCAGGTTCGAGACCAATCTGAACCAGAGTGAGACCCCGTCTCTAAAATTAGCTGGGCCCTATGGCAGGTGCTTGTAGTCCAAGCTACTCAGGAGGCTGAGGCAAGAGAATCACTTGTGCCTAAGAGTTGCTGTAAGCTATGATGCTAAGGTACTCTACCTAGGGTGACAAAGTGAGACTCAGTCTCAAACAATCCCAAAACAACAACCCCCCCCAAAAAATGCTCCAAGAATAAGGGCAAATACTAAACAAAGACTCAGTAAAGAAATAAAAAATACAGTAATTTGGCTTGGCACACGTAGGACAACAGTGGTTACAGTGCCAGCCACATAACGAGGTCGGTGGGTTCAAACCTGGCCTGGGTCAGTTAAACAACAATGACAACTGCTGCAAGAACAACAACGAAATAGCCGGGTGTTGTGGCAGGCACCTGAACTCCCAGTTACTTGGGAGGCTGAGGCAAAGAATCGTTTAAGTCCAAGAGTTTGAGGTTGCTGTGAGCTGTGACACCAAGGTACTCTACCAAGGAGCAATACACACACACAAAAAACCCCCCAGTAATTAAAATTAAAAAATTGAGTGTGACAATTTTAAAATAAAAAAATTGAGCTGTGACACCAAGGTACTCTACCAAGGGCAACACACACAGGAAAAAAACAGTAATTAAAATTAAAAAATTAGAAGGCGCCTCTGGCTCAGTGGGTAGGGCGACAGCCCCATATACCGAGGGTGGTGGGTTCAAATCCAGCCCTCGCCAAACTGCAACAAAAAATAGCTGGGCATTGTGGTAGGCACCTGTGGTCCCAGCTACTTGGGAGGCTGAGGCAAGAGAATCACCTAAGCCCTGGAGTTGGAGGTTGCTGTGAGCTGTGCAATGCCACAGCACTCTACAAGGGCGATAAAGTGAGGCTCTTGTCTCTACAAAAAATAAAATTAAAAAAAATTGGATAGTCTCAATAGTAGTTAAGTGGCAATGAAAAAGTCAGTGAAGATCCACAGAAATCATCCAACCTCACCAAGAACGAAAGACTAACACCCTCCCCCGCAAAAAAGGTAGGGGCTGGGCAAGGCGGCTCTTGCCTTTAGTCTAGTGCTTCTCAACTTTCTTATGCCACGACCCTTTAACATAGTTCCTCATGTTGTGGTGACCCCCAACAATAAAATTATTTTCGTTGCTACTTTATAACTGTAATTTTGCTACTGTTACGAATCATAATGTAAATATCTGATATGCAGGATGTACTTTCATTATTACAAAGGGGTCTCGACCCACAGGTTGAGAACCGCTGCTTTAGTCCCAACACTTTGGGAGGCAGAGGTGGGAGGATCCCTTGAAGCAAGGAATTTAAAACCAGCCTGGACAACATAGAGAAACCCCATTTATTCAAAAAAGTTATATGAACTATATTATATTATGCTACTGCACTCCAGACTAGGCAAGAGAATAGGTTCTTCAGAAAGAAGAAAATACCTGGCAGCGCCCGTAGCTCAGTGGGTAGAGGGCCGGTCATATACATGGAGGCTGGAGGGTTCGAAACCAGCCCAGGCCTGCTAAACAACAACAACCACAACAACTACAAAAAATAGCTGGGCTATTTTTACTGTGGCAAGTACCTATACTTCCAGCTACTTGGGAGGCTGAAGCAAGACAATCACTTAAGCTTAAGAGTTTGAGCGGCTGTGAGCTGTGATGCCACGGCCCTCTACCAAGGGTGACATACTGGGACCCAGTCTCAAAGGAAAAAAGAAAGTAATACCACAAAAAACCCTGAAGCATCAAAGGTGAAGGAAGAACAAATCTACACGGTGGTCTGAAAGCTTTCTTTGCCCAATTCCAATTTTGCCTGCTTGATCTTTCACAGGCGTCACCCCTTAACAAATGTCTTGCACTTCAAAAGCATATGAAGCAGAAAAGACCCTTTAAGCTAAATGGCAATCCCAGTCAACCATTGCTTAAATACAGTTCAATAAATACAGGATTATTTGATAGAACGTATGAAGTCAGACAATTAAGTTTGTGAATTCATCCTAGAAAAAGTGCTACAAACCTCATTGCTGAATATCACTATGGTCAGCTTCTAGGTATGAGCTTGGAGTATCAACACCAGTGCCTAGTCCATCCTTCAAAGTAATTTTGGAACTCTTATTTTTGGAAAGACCATCAGAGCTGTTGTCGTAGAAGATCTGACAATTAAGTTTGTGAACTCATCCTATAAAAAGTGCTTTGAAGGGTGGCCTGGGCATGGGCACTTAGCTTTCCATGGGGAGTACTTCAAAGGTAACCAAAGTGATATTCAGCAATGAGGTATGCAGCACTTTTTCTAGGATGAGTTTGCCAATGTAAATGACTTCATACAAGAGCAGGAAATAAGTAACCTGCAACAGCAACTACAAACAGTCTACTATTATTCACAGTCACAACATAGGAGTGCTCCTCTCCAAAATTAAGCACTTTTTTTTTTCTTATAAAGAGTTATCTACCTTATTTTGGATTCAAAAAGCCCAAGGTCTTGGAGAATAAGGGGAAAGAGAAAGACCTATCAAAGAATTCTTCAAAAGACCAGCCACTGACTTAGAAGGAAACCCAGGCAAGAATGGCATCCTGGAAACCAGAGAAGAAAGTTTTTCAAGGTGGAGAAAGTTCCAGATACTTCAAAAGCCCCCTATAATTCAAGACTTTTCTGATATAAAACCATCTGCTGCTAAGAATATTTTTAGCTCTAAAAATCAAACAGAACCTCTTGAGAAAAGACCCAAGCAAAACAATCATGGACCTAAATCAGCAAAGGCTAGAAGATCTTGTTATGCAAAAACAGCCAGCTATGACCTGGGATCAAAATTCAGAGCAATCAAACAGGAATTGTAGTGAACATGAAAGAAAGAGAAAGCAGAAATGGAGAGAAGAGGAGATAGGAGGACAAGGAAAAGGAAGAGAAAAAGAACAGGAGCAGAAAAAAGAAAAGAAAAAGGAAAAGAAAAAGGAAGAACAGGCTCGGTGCCTATAGCTCAAGCAGCCAAGGTGCCAGCCACATACATCAGAGCTGGCGGGTTCAAATCCAGCCTGGGTCTGCCAAACAACAATGACAACTACAACCAAAAAATAGCCAAGCGTGGTGGGCGCCTGTAGTCCCAGCTACTTGGGAGGCTGAGCCACGAGAACTGCTTAAGCCTAGGAGTTGGGAGGTTGCTGTGAGCTGTGATGCCACAGCAC